GATTCAGTTTGTGTTTCTCCACAATATGAGCCAGAAATATCCTGCAGTAGAGGGGTAGCATGCTCCAGTGTGTCACCTCCAGCCATGACTTGACCTTTAAACACAACCTACTCTGAGCAGCAGCTTGTTCTAATGGGAGGAAAAAAGAAAAGAAGAAATCTCTGGTCGTACGCCAACATTTCAAATAGGTAACCCAAGAGAGCTGCTTTACTATAACACTATCTCTTCCTCTTTATCTTACCTGACTTTAATTACTGCAGGCGCACCACTTTGAGCAGTGAAGGGGAAATTAATGGGAAGGGTGAAATACGTGATTACATGCTCATCTTTCCATAATGAACAGAAACAGCGAAGCAGCTCGTGTGGTAAGAGGCCACAATGGCGAATACTACATGAATTGGAGTTGTTTAACATTAGCTGCACATGCATTCACTCCAATTCACTCCATGAACTGATGCCGTCAAAGAATGCAGGAATTCATCTTGAGGCAACGTAAAAATGTTGATCTGGGTGTGAATACTGAGCCTGAAGAGGGGAAACCCGTAGCAGGGATGAGTATTACAAACATTTAGACACAGAACTGTGGAAAAGTATTTGCTCCCTTACGGATTTTATTTTGGTTTTGGTCTTTTTTTTTCATATCTTTCTGTGTTGAACATATTTTACATACGTAAAATATGATGGTGACATCCATGATATTTGTGGAGTCTCTTCCTGACTGTTGGATCTTGAACTCTGACCTTAACTGGGAGAAGTGAGTGTTTTTCAAAGTGAGGGCCACCAGGCGGCGCTGTGGGGGCCTCAGAAAGTTAGAGGGAGGAACAGAAAAAAAAAAAAAAAACTTAAGCTTTTAATCATAATTTTTAAAGTTTTTCAATCTTTTTTTTTAAAATAAAACATTAGTTAAAATAACTTACATTTTATGACTGGCTGCCAGTTAAATTCATCAACTTGCTTATCTCCTCAGGCTAGATTAGCAAGCAAGAAAATGTTTCTGGCAAGAAGAAGACCAAAGAACCTCTGCTGCAAAAAACACATCAGAAT